TTCCTCCCTCCTCCTCCTCCGCCTCCTCCTCCTCCTCCTCCGCCTCCTCCTCCTCCTCCTCCTCCTCCTCCTCCTCCTCCTCCTCCTCCTCCTCCCCCCCCATCCATTGCCGACAGGGGCACGTGCGGCCTCGCCGGCGGGGGGGGGCGTCTCGCCAAGCTGTCGACGATGGGTTGGCTGAGCCTACGCTAGCGCTTCGCCACTGGAGCCGGTCCTCCTGCCACGAGCGAGGGGGGGGAGAGTTCGAGGTTCAAACTTCGAGGTTCGAGGGTTTCGGGCGCTTTCGTCGGTTCTTCGCGGTTTTCCAGCCTCGGGATGCTTTCCAGCAGCTGCGCCTCGCCGAGGGCGTTCCGGGGGTGCCCAGATGGTCCCAAACGGCCGCCGGAGACCCGAGTTGTGACCCAAAAACCATATTCGGCGGCGCGCGATGGGTGGGGAAACGCGAAGGAGGAGGCCTTCTCAGAGGGCGGAGGCGGTGCGGCTTCTCAGAAGCCCTCGCGCATCCTCAGAGGTTTTAGAGAAGGTTTTTTTTCTGCGTCTTCGGAGAAGGCGAAGAGAAACTTCTCAGAAGGCCGCGGGGCATCCGAGCCTTCTGAGAAGGCCTTCTCTTTCTCGTTTCCCTCCCTCGGCCGAAGACAAACGACGTCGGGATTGTCTCTTCATGGCGTGGACTCTCCGAGATCTGGACCCCTTCCCTGGGGCCGGTTTTCCCGCCCCGAGTCGTCTTCTGACGGCCCCGAGGCCTGGCAGGGGGCCCCGGAGGCCGAAAGTGTGGAAAAGTTGTCCGTCGTGATTCCGCTCGCGCCTCTCCTCAGAGCTGGCTGTGCAGAAGAGTTACAGCATCGCAAAAGAGTCACCACCACAGCCTTGGACCCCATCTCTCGCGCCACTCTTCGAGCCGGATCGACCTGCGAGGTTCCCAGGGCCCAATGTTGTGCAAAAAAGGAGGAGGAGCAAGAGGAGGAGGAGGAGGAGAAGGAGGAAGAGGAGGAGCAGGTGGAGGAGGAGGAAGAAGGAGCCGTGAAAAACATGCGACGAAAAGGATCTCAGGGTTGCTTCCGCTCGCGTCTCGAGGGGGCCTGGGACCTCCTCCTCCGGCGGCCCCGGCACCTCCGCGGAGCACGAGGCTGAGCAGGGGCCGACCGTCTCGGCATCCGTATAGGCCTACCACGATAAGTATGTTCTCGAGCGAGCGAATGTTCTTACTATGGGGGCGTTGATTAAGGAATGTGCCCAAGAGGCGTCAGACCCTGGAGGATTCCGTATCTCATGAGAGCGGCGGGGATCTCGATAGCCAATCCACGATTGGAGTTCCACTGGCTTCCAGACCCTGGTTGCCTTATCCAATGGTTCCTTCGTCAACGCCGTCACCGTATTACAACAGCAGCATCACCTTAAACCGATGTACTAAAACAAGACGGTCTCGGCCAGAAGTGCTCGAAGGCCATCTCATGCAAGCCGCAAGAGGGTTTTATCGGACAAGAACAGATGTCATAAACACATTCTTTCGGAGCTCCGCGCGGATGTCTTGCATCGGCGCTGGGAGGCCCGGGCGGCGCCTCTGGCGCCGCCACTGGCATGCTCCTCGCGCCAGAGAAGGCGGCCCTGCGCAGATCCAAGACATCCGCGCGGAGCTCCGCAAGGTTGTGCTTGTAACGTTTGCCTTCTTCTCCCAGTCTCGTGCCAACCACAACAAGGCTTTCAGAACATGCTTTCGATTACGCCTATAAGCACGCCAGGACGCCTCGCCACCGCTCGGTGGTTCAAAGATGGGGTCCTGAGGGATGGGGGCCTGAGGATAGGAAGGAATCCAGGGGTGGATGTTCCCAGATAGCTCTCTGAGAGCTCAGAGGGTTTCAGATTAGGAGCTGGCAGCGCAGGGTAGCACCTGATCTATTTCCGGCGCCAGTCCAGACACCCCGTAGCAAATTACTCGAAGTTGCAGTTTGTCCCGGCAGAACGTTCTCCTACATTTTCGCAATACGTTTGTTGGAATGTGTTTAGCAGCTCCTTCGAAGCTCTTTCTGGGATCTTGCGAAGCTCTTTGCTCTAGCTTGTAAGCTTCCCAAATATCCTTTCAAGCGTCCTTGCAAGCGCCTCCCAAAGGCGTTTCGCGCGCTTCGGACCGCCCCGCTATGCAGGCACCTCTTCCCAAGGTCCCCGTCCCTCCCTGAGATCCGACGTTGCGAAGACATTGCATCACCATGAAAAAAACGCGACCAGAACCCCGGACCCAATCTTTCTGTGTCATTTTTCGAGCCCGATCGCTCCGTGAGGGTCCCAGGACCCGAGGTGGAGCGAAAACGCCCGCTGGGAGGAAATCGCAACGCCAGGATCTCAGGGCCCAGGGCCCCATCTTTGAGCCACCGAGCCGCTCGACGAGGCGAAGCAGCCGAGGCCCGGCGCGGCGCAGGCCCCGCCGGCCGCGGGGCCGCGCGCGGGGGCCGAGCCGGGGCCGCTGCTGCGAGAAGCGCGCCCAGGGTCCGCCGGTGCCGCCGCCGCGGCCACGATGGGCGGCGCGCACCCGAAGGGGGGCGGCCTTCTCGAGGGTTGAGTCGGGCCTGTCCCTCCACCGGAGGAAGATTCGCAAATGGTCAAAAAAAATGCTTTGGTGTCCATTTTCTGACTATTTGGGTGCATTTTTTGATTATTGTTCGAGTCTGTTTTATTTTTCTTCCGTGGGAAGACATGCCTGGCCTAATTCTAGGGGAACGAAGAATGACATAAACATAGAAATTCGGAGGCCCGCGCAAATTTCCCGGATCGGCGCTGGACCCCCTCCCGGGCGCGCGGAGCGCGCCAGGGGCGGCGCCTGAGGCGCCGCCAGGGGGGTCAAGCGCGGATCCGAGAAGTCCGCGCGGACCTCGGAGTTTTCATGTTTCTGTCATAATACTTAGGGGGGGGGGGGGGGGGGCGTTTCCACCGATTCCTCTCGAGGACACGCTCTTGCGTGTGGGACCAGCGCAGCAGAGCGACCTTTCCAATCCTGGGGGGGGTGCCTCCTTCCTCCTCCTCCTCCTCCTCTTCTCCTCCTCCTCCTCCTCCTCCTCCTCCTCCTCCTGCCTTCCCCTTCCTCCGCCTTTCCTCCGTCCCCTCCTCTCCCTCCTCTCTCCTCCTCCTTCGCCCTCCTCCTCCTACTCCTCCCTCCGCGCCTCCTCCTCCTCTTCCTCCTCCCTCCTCCTCCTCCTCCTCCTCCTCCTCCTCCTCCTCCTCTCCTCCTCCTCCTTCCCCTCCTCCTCCTCCTCCTCCTCCTCCTCCTCCTCCTCCTCTTCCTCCTCCTCCTCCTCCTCGTCCTTTTCCTCCTCCTCCTCCTCCTCCTCCTCCTCCTCCTCTGAAAGCAAAGGAGGGGACTGAGGCGGGCCAGCAAGCAAAAGCAGGGGGCGAGGCCGCTTCGTCCTGAACAGCTCGACAGCACTTCGTGGCGCCCAGCGTCCAAGGCAGGTCTCTTGTTATGACCGCTTTGGTGCCACGGGGCAAGCGAAGGCATCCGGAGGAAGGGGAAGAGGAGGAAGGAGGAGGAGGAGGAGGAGGAGGAGGAGGAGGAGGAGGAGGAACAGGAAGAGAGCCGGAAGGCGGAGGGGACGGACGCGCGGCCGGGGAACCTGCGCCACGGACCCCCCCCGTTAGGCGCGCACGCGTCCGTCCGAGGCAAGGAGCGGGGGAGGAGAGGGGAAGGAGTGGGGAAGGCGAGGGAGCAGACAGACGCGGGGCGATCCGTGCCGAACTTCGTGACTACAGGGCCGGCGGGGGGAGCAAGGCAGGAGGGGGGGCAGCGCGGCGCCACAGCCAAAACGACAGCGGAGGAGGGAGGAGGGAAGGAGATAAGGACGCGGCGGAGGATGAGGGGAAAGAGAGAGAAGAGGTTACTAAGTAGTAAACTAGATGCGGCGTCGACGCCTCATTGCGCCCGTCGCCAGGGCCGGGCAGGACGTCCGCCACGGCCGCGGCTGGGCTCCCGCGCTGCCCAGCAGCATGGCGGCCACGCCCCGCTGCAGCGCTGTGGCCAGCCGCTGGCGGACATCTGCCAGGCTGGCAGCGCGCCGCTCGTCCGTGGGCGCCTGCGCCCGCAGGAACGCCCAGAACTCGCGGCCCAACCGGCCGCCGGTTTCCAGCGCGGCCGCAACCAGGCCTGGCCCTGGGTAACGGCGGTGCTTCTCCTGCTCGCGCTCGCGCGCCGTTGCCCCGTCGGCCCGCGCCCGTGCCCGCGCTGTGGCGTTGTCGGCAGAAGGTGCCTCAGCGACGCTAACATCCACAGCCACGCGCCCAGAATTGGGGATCAGAATGACGTCTAGGACGGCTTGTTCAATGCCCTGTCGCGTCATCCGGTCCCACCCTGGGACGTGCTGCTCTGTCAGCACAGAGTCTCCGTCGCCAACCTCCCGCAGCCACGCTGCGAGGACGTCCCGGCACCCGTTGTGGCGGCGCACAAAGCCCCGGCCTGTGCGGCAGCACACGGCGTGGACGCCATAGCGCCTCTGGGACACGCATCCACAGAGCGCACTCGTGGTCGTCGTTCGGTGCGCGCACGGCGCTCCGCCGCTCGCCGCGGGGTCTGCGACCAGGAGGCGGCGCCGGAGGCTGACGATGAAATCGTCGTCGCCGAGCAGGTGTTCCGTCCTGCGCGGTGGCCACAGCCAGGCGCCGCCCTCTCCGCCGGCGCTGCGGACCAGGGCTGCCCCGTCGTTGTCGCCCTGGCTTGTCAAGCGTCGCAGCAGGTCGTGGTAAACTCGCCGGGTCGCTGGCTGCAGCACTTCTTTCTGGGTGCTCGCAAAGGCCGCCGCGCCAGCGGCGCCGAGGCGGGCCCGTGTTGTCGCCAGCGTTGCAGTGAGTCGGGGCGTCTCTGCGCGGGGGGCGGCCTCGGTCGGCAGGCCCTGGTCGGCCCTCACGGCGTCCTCCACCGCGGCCCAGGATGCCACCCAAGCACCGTCGGCCCGCAGCGCCGCGCTCTGGAAGCCCGCGCCCCCGAGCTTCAGTGGGAGGAAGAGCAGCACTTTGCTGTCGTCCGCGAGCGGCGCGCCGAGCAAGCTCGACATCGCGGCTGCGACGGCCTTGTAGCACTGCCAAGCCCCCGCAGCTGCGACGCGAGCGCGTTGGAAGTGAGTGACAGCTCCGTTCACATAGCAGCGCAAGAGCGTGACTACGTGTTGCGCTTCCAGCCCGGTCGCCAGAAGGTGAAAGAGCTTGCCCGCGTAGGTGCGCAGCCGCTCCGTGGCCAGCCCCGGCGCCTCTGCATCCTCCACGCCAGCGGGCACGTCTCGCCCGTTCTCCTCGTCGCGTTGCTCCTCTGGCCGTGGGCGCACGAAGGAGACGCGACTCCCAAGGCAGGGGAGCTCTCTCACCACGTACTGGGCCAGGTCTGCGGGCAGGTCGGCCGGCGGGCCTGCGGGGAACCACAAGCATGTCTTCGGCTCCCGCAGGTGCAACCCGAGCTCGCTAAAGAGGCGCCGCGCCTCAGCCAGGACGCTTCGCAGGTGCAGGCGCGGGACGACCAAGTAGACGTCGTCCAAGTAAGCGTACACCCAGGAGTCCGCAGAGCATTGCCGTGCAAAGTCTCGGAGGCCCTCCAGCGCCGGTGCCACAGCGATGGCAAAGAGGGCCGGACTGAGCGGACAGCCTTGGTCTAAGCCATGCAGCTGCTGCACTAACTTGGCTGCGTTCCCGCCTCCGCTGGCCACGTGGGTAGCTGGCCTGTCATACCACTGGCGGGCCAAAAGCTCCATATCTGGGCACCTCGCCCAGAGTGCCCGGAAGACGCTGCGCCTCCGGATGCAGCGGAACGCGTTCGCCATGTCCAGGGAGACGTACGCATGATCCGGAAACTGCTCCGCCTTCGCGCTCAGCGTCTTGTGCAAAATTTCTGTGCCAGATGACTGCCCCACCCCGTACTGGCAGTCGCCGACTGCGTCTGCGATGGCGGCCCGTCTCGCCTTGCACACTGCGCGGCCGACCAATCGGCGCGGGACAGACCCGCAGGCAAGCACCCGGGTGCCGTCGTCTTTCTTGGCCAGGCCCAACAGCCTCTTTGCCAGCGCCAGCGTCAGCACCTCCATGGGCGCGTCTCCCCCAGCGAGCGTGGCCAGCACACGCGCCGTGGCCTCTCCTCGCCCGGCCGCGCGAGCCAGCGGCTGCCAGTGTTCGAACCGGTCGCCCTGTGGACCGGCGCCCGCCCCCTGGGGCACCTTTCGCCAGTGACCTCGCAGGCATTCCTCCACGTCTCGGCGCAATTGGTGCGCAGACTCGGCGTCAGCAGGTCCGTCCACGTCGTGGCCATCAGGCTCCTGCGGGCCCTGCTGCACGAAGGCTTCTGCGGTTTCGGCGGGAGTGCGCATCGCTGCTGCCCCCCAGGCGGCTGCGGCAGCCCGGCCAAGCTCACCCTTCATCAGCAAACTTCGCACACGATGCACTGCACGGTCTTTCATGTCTAGCGCCCCCCCGTCGCGAGAGGTGATCGCAGTATCGCATAACAGGGTCTGCCAACGTCCAGCCCAAAAATCCTGCAGCCGCTCGGACACTGGTGTCTGCATCGCTCCCGCGGCCCGCATGGAGCTCACCGAACAGCATGCGGCCCATGCACAGCAAGCACCGCCAGCCCCCGAGAGCCCCGGTTTCAGAAGTGGTTTGCAGGATGTATGTGGAGACGGCCTCACGCGCCTCGCCAATAGCAAGAGCCAGAGAATTCGGAACTCCGTCCAGCGTCGAGGCGAGGTTCGTGAGCAGGGAGTCGATGCTGGTGAACGCCTCCCCCATGGCTGACGCACCCGGGGCCGACCACCAAGACATGTGATGCAGAACCCCAGGCTCCGGCAACACCGCGGCGCTGGGACATCACCTCGATGTCCGGCGAGTGCATGTTGCCCTCGACCGCGTCCTGCTCGGCTGAGCCTCCCACACTCGCATCCGCAGGGGGAGGGCCGGCCAGCGGCGCCTCCAGCCATGGCGCAACCTCCTCCTGCAGGGTCGCAGGTTGTGAGCCCTTCAACCTGCGCAGCCCGGCCGAGAACTCGCCCCAGGCAGGAGACGTGGTAGTACTTGGGATGATGAACGCGCGTCGTTGAGCACACCCGGAGTGCGCCCGCCTCCATGCGCACGTGGCACGCGCTGCACTTCGCGTTGGCACCCCCCCGCGATGGCTGCACCGAAACTCTCCAGACCCGCTCTGTCTCCCTGATCTGCCCTTCAGCTGCTCGCCCAGCGGCGTGGGGCATGTCCACGTCGAACGTCAAGCGTCGCATCTGTTCGACTGGTACATCGTGTCGTGGCCGCTGCCGGCGGGCAGGAACAGAGTCTGCTCTACCAATTCCTTCAAGATCCTCATATGGTGGACGTCGGTGCGGCGGAGAGGAGGTTCCCCGTCCCGGGCTGCGGTTCCAGCTCCGCGGCCTCCCCGGAGGCCTCGCAGGGCGGGCGGGCGAGCCCGGCGGCGGCGTGCTGCCTCGCGAAAGCATCATGGAACACACGCTGCGCCCGCGCAACCCCTGGCGCGCGCAGCCCGGCCCATCG